TCTATGGTGAGGTGGAAAAGATAATAAGAGTATTGGTAGCACCTCTAGTTTAGTTTATGTGTGGATCTGGTAATCATTTGTCTTCTACCGCAAGCCATTTCGATTTAGCGCTGATACCGCTATTACTCCAGAAATTGAAATCGCTTTAGAAGTATTGTACGCTTTACCTGAGCTACGGTATTGTCACAGTGTGGTTACAATAAAACTGGCCACAACTTAAAACAATAAACAATTTGGAGACAAACAACGATTTATATCACAAAGCGCTGTAAATCAAAAATTTAGGGCACGCTTTCTTCATGAAGCATAGTTTAACAAAATAAACAACTGACTCGTAAAAACGGTTATTTAATCTTAGTAAAGATTTAAATTTGTTTTTGGAATGCTAGAAAAGGGTTTTCACTGCTTAATTTAATCGTTAATAATAAGGAAATATCTTTCGCTAACAGTTTTCTATTTATCTATGGCGCCAAAAACTACCATAATTTCACAAAACAAAAAACTGTCTAAAAACAAATTACTGAACTTGACATTAAATTAACACGGCTTTCAAATAAGTTATTTGAATTTCGAATTGCGCGCCAATCAATCTGTAAATGCTGGTTATTGCTCCAATTACATAGTTAAAGACCAAGAATACAGAAATATATGCCATCGCACTGCTGAACATATATAGTTTAAAATATAGCCTATGTTATTAATAATACAATGTTAAAAGTGTTTCTGTAATCGTCTAACAGTTTTTGAGTATATTCATTACAAATCTTTCCTCCACATAATGTTAGTATATTGGTAGATAAAGTATTACGAACAAACGAACATAACAGTGTATATCTCACGTCTATTTTACAATGTCTTTCTTATCTGTATGTAAAACTAAGAGCAAATAATTTAAAACAACATTAAATTATCATAAACTAATACTTATAAAAAGGAAATATTTGACTGTTTGTTTTTATTTAAATAGGCTCCAAAGTACTGGACCGATTCGATATTTTTTTCACAATTAGAATTCTACATTATCTCTGATGAAATAGGCTGTAAAATTTTATTAAAAATTTAGTTACCAGTATGAAATCCTCGATAACCAAAAGAGTGAAAAAAATACAAAAATCGCTTACCCTACGGAAATATTGACATTAGAGCAAATATGTACTATAGTTTTATAGAAGACATCAATATCTACAATAAAGTCCGCGATACCGTATATCTAACTTTTTTTTATATATAGGCAAACGGGCAGGAGGCTCACTTGATTTTAAGTGATACCGCTGCCCATAGGCAATCTAATCAAATGCCAGAGGGCTCGCAAGTTCGTTGCTGACCTTTTAAGAATTGGTACGATTTTGTCTCGGCCCTAATTCAAATTGGCTCGGAAATACTTCAGTGGGCAGCTGGTTCCACATAGTTGGTCCGCGGAAAAAACACCCTTAAAAACGCTCAGTTGTGGAACGACGGACGTCGATGTAATACGGGTGGAATTTCGTTTTCTGCCTGCTGCTGATGAAACTCAGCAGGTGCTAATCCGAACAACTACAACGAGCATTTACCACGGAGAGTGTTCAGAGGAGCTGCCCACTGAAGTATTTCCGATCCAATACGACTTATAAAGTCCTTCTAGAAAAGACCGTACCAAGTCTTAAAAGGAGGCAACGCACTCGCGAGACCTCTGGCATTGAGAGTGTCCATTAGCGGTAGTATCACTTAACATCAGATCCTGCCCGATTGTCCCCTGTTCCGATTGTCCATTGTCCCCTGTCCCCAAAAACAACTCCTCTGAACATATAATTGTTACTTGATAAAATCAATATGCCATCATGTGAAGACGGGACCTAAAATCTACATATAATATTCTGTGTTTAATTTTCAGTTTTCAGCTGCTACATATTAAACATTAACTGTTACGTTAAACGCGAAAGCTGCATTTGAGTTGCATACTAATGCTTTCGTGATAACACTATCAACACATCTAATCGATATTCGATCTTCAAATACGAATTTGACAGTACACGTTTATTGAATAACAAATAGATACGATTGGAAAATTTCTTGGCAACAATCCTTCGGTTTTAAATTTATGAGTGTCTTTTGGGACATTGTATCGAATTTCTCGCAATTTTGTTTCTTCATAAATTTCATCAGTGTATTCGTTGTTTATCAATAGAATTTGTGCGATAAGTTAAAGTATTACTTCTAAAAATACCTACCATTGTTTTTTCAGCTTTAACTGTATTAGATAATATTGTTGTTTTGAGAGGTTTATTAAACAAGGTAAAAGGTTTGGGTCTTTCTTTACCATGCGTACTTCTGATAGAGCCTTACTGGCGGCCTTATCGCTTTCGAGCGATCTCTTTCAGGAAACCACTGTGAACAAAAAAAAAGTGTGTGTACTTATGTACACGCGTTAGAAGTTATACTTCTTTGGCGTAACAATATAAAATCTTTTCAAAAATGTTATTCTACGTTTGTAGAAAAATCGACACTAACAATAGAAAAAACTAAAATCTTGACTATAGCTAACTTCAGGGTGTTGTGACGGTGTGCGCGCGCATCGTAAAAACTTTGGCATATTTCCCTAACGCGCCAGAAGAAGTATAAATAATATTAGATAAGGCAAGCAAGAAGTGCAGAAATACATAATACATAAAGTTATTTAGACAAAACTAAAATAGGAACAAAAAACAAAAACTAAACTAGACAATATAAAAGCACATGAAAAAAAATGACACGCTAAATTATTAAAAATCTAAACTTCTAAATGCACATTGTAATAATCATATCTCGCAAGCTCTGCTCTTGATATTACATACACATGTTTGATTTATAATCGATTGTCCCAACCGGTTCTTCTGGCCTGCATGAACTGGAATATTATGCGGGTAGGCAATCAACTTCCACGACCCGTAACACATTTATCTCGGTCACAACAACAGGTTCCATCCTGGCCGTCCTCAACGACATTCCTTGACTCATCAACAATTATTTTTATTGTTGGGTCGTTTTCGCACTTTACGGTTGTTAGATTGTAATGTTCTTTTATATGTTACACGTAATTTACTTAAAGAAGCGTTACTTATTTATTATTTATTCAGAAGATTCACAGCACAATACAGAAATAGATGTATATATAACATTATGGGCCAATTACAAATCTTCACATATTTTTTTTTATAAAACAAGAAGGTAAGCCAAATATTTTTAGTGTAAAACAAAAAAGAAGAGAAAAGAAGAAAGAAGATATGACCACAAGTGTTTAAAATACTATATGATTATTAAATACTTTTACGGAATATCATTTTTATGTTATATAAAAACTCTTTACTATAAATTTCTTTTAATACAACCGGTCAAACGCACTATGAATTAAATAGATTTGGTTTGAATACTAAGATAATGTAATTTATTGTATTAATTAGTTTATTAACACACAAGTGCTACGAAGATGAAACTAATTTTATAGAGGTTAATCTTTTGTACAATCAATCAATGTATCGTAATCCTCTTCCTTTGAGATTTAAAAAAATCTAAAAAATAAATCTGTCGCACTACAACTTTTTTAGGACTGGGCCACAGATTTCTGTATCTGTTTCATGATCATTTGTCAATCTCATAGGCAAGTAGGAATCAGCCTCCTGTGCCTGACACACGCCGTCGACTTTTTGGGTCTAAGGCAAGCCGGTTTCCTCGCGATGTTTTCCTTCACCGTTCGAGGGAATGTTAAATGCGCACATAGGAAGAAAGTCCATTGGTGCTAGGAATCGAATCTAGGACCTCAGGGATGAGAGTCGCACGCTGAAGCCACTAGGCCAACACTGCTCCGAGTTTTTTAAGTCGGTTAAAATGACAGCTGTATGCTTCATTAATATTAAATTAATTAGCATCTTTGGATGTGTTTGCACGCATTTGCATACTAATTATAGATAATATTATGCTTATTTTTACTCTTTAGCACCACTACAAGAAAGGAACGTAATATTGTTATACTTTCAGAGTTCATATCAAATCAATGTATACAAAATATTGTAAAAACAATTTAAAAGAGTACCTAAGTATGGAGTTTCTTGCCCATTTTTCTTCATATGAAACTACCTCTTGGAACTACCGTCATTTTTTTATATCTTAACTTATAATTTTGACTTTCAAAAGTTCCTTTTAAATAGGCCTAACTGAAATAAATGAATTTACTTTGACTGTAACATATATTATAATATATGAACTGACAAATTTTAATCCGAGATAACGTTGAAGTGTTTACTGCAGCAGCTAATAAATGGACCCGATCAGTTATTAGATAGCTTAACCAACATAAAAAAACAAGTTGAAGAATTATTTTTATATGAATTTGTCGCGCTCCTGAATGCTGTGGATTAATACAAACCTCAGTGGTTTTCAATGAAATCATGATTTAGATTGTATTATTCTGTAAAATAAATAATTAAAAATTCATCAGAGACCTAAGCTAAATTTCGGTTGTTTTAAAGTTTGGCTTACATAATTAAACTGGTCAAAATATAAAACACGAATTAACTGTTAAGTTCACAGCTCTTCAGCTGCTCATATTACATTCCAAGTTATTTATTTAAAAAGTAAAAAGTAAAGTAAAAGTAAAAATCATTTAATCACATAGGTAACATAATGTACACTATGACGTCAGTAAAGAAATACATAATATTAATGCTTCTAATTTTACATTTATTGCCAGTTCTCAAATCAAGAGCGTAGAATGGGAGAGAAGAACTAGCAATAAACTCTCCGCCACTCTTTTCAATCGCCATTTTTTTTGTTTTAAAAAATGTTTGTAAGGAGCTGCAACCATTACACCATGTCCCATGTGGCATTTCAAGTAATTAATAATAATAACATAAATTAAAAACAAAGATTTGTCCTCTACAAGCCGGAGGCATGGTGAAATAGGAGCACGCACTTACATTCTCGTGGGAACAACACGCAAACACATAGTCGAAATAACCAACATCAACAAACATAACAAAGCATATAATTTACAAAAGCCTACTTGGTTCTACTTCGGTCGACGTTCCTGTACGATCATCGTAGTCTAACGAATCGGACGCAGATTTCAAATATTTTTTACCATAAACTCTTTTAAATTCAGAAGCGCATGGGATGATAATTTCATAGAAAAATGGTGGCACGTTTTTATAAACAGCTTTATCTCCTATTACAATTATTTTAATAGTAAAATGAACAAGATCTTCGTGTTTATTAGAACGAGATTGGGAACATAAAGCAACCTCAAAAGAGGCATTTGACTGCGCCGTTATAAATGTCTCTTGAGGTGTTATGTCAAAAATTCTATTCATTTTGCTTGTTAATTCAATTTTAATTGTGACAGGAACAAATTTGTGGTTATTAAATATTGTGAAATGATCGATAAATAGCCCGAGCTTCTTCGGTATTCCCGACATGTCTAGGATAATGGGATGGATTTCTATAGGATGTGGCAATATTTCGGCAAAAACTTTTACTGTTTTTGTCATTATTAAATCATTATCAATGGGATTAAAGAATTCCAAATCGTAGTAGCTTTGATGAAGGCCAATATATTCCGCTTTTGTGAAGTTGACACGGATTTTCTGACTACTACGTGGTTTTAAATAAAAATATGTGGGTTCTAGAAGAAATGGTTTTAAGGAATTTTCAACTAGTTCTAATAAGATACCGTACGCGATATCGTGTGAGCTAATCGACTCTTCTTTTGGTATTTCAGCAAAGTTCGTTAAAGTACAAAACGTATTTTGTGACTTCAGTTCATAATTTCTTTGGAGTTCACTCTCCGTGGCTGGAGCTTGGACCTCAAGCGAACTAGTGCTTTTAACGTCGAGCAATAATTCCCAATTAATCTCTTGTTTTCTTACATGTATATGATAAAAATAGTCATCTTCAGATCGAGCAACGATATTTCCTGAAGGATACCTATCTTTCGTTAACTGCCATAAATAAACAGCTGGTAAATATACACATTCAGAAACATGTACCGCTCTGTTTTCCTTACATTCACAAGTAATTTGAATATTTAGGATTTCTTCGGGTGAATCTAAACTATCGCGGCAAATTTTGAAATTTAAAAACCCTTCAAATTCCTTTACATTGGGTTTAAACTTAAACCGTAACGAGTATACGTTTGATAGGCCTGCATATAATTTTACAGGAGTAAGCGGTCTGAGCTTGATATTTTTTAGTAGATGTTTATTAGATAGGCTTACAAAACGAACAAAGGCCCAATCATTCGTGCAGTTTCTCAATGTAAACTTTATAAACTGTTCATTATTAAACTGCATACTGTTGTAGTACATATTAATTTCTTCTGGATAGGATCTAATCGCTTTGGTTTGAGTATATATTTTTTCCTCTGCGTAGTCTTTAACTGTTACAGACGAAGATTTGGGTGAATTATAAGTAAGAGGTGTACATTGTGATCTTAATGGGGAAAGTAGCTTATGTGGATTGGTACAAATAATTACGGGCAGTTTGGTTGAGATTTCGGATTGCGTTTCCAGTTCGACATCAGTTAGTTTATCTTTTACGTTGTCTCTAGCCTCAACAACTTCTGTATTGGGATGTGCTGTTGATCTTATTATATCACTCTCTTCATCTAATGATTCCTCACTTTCATACTCTTTATGCTTTAATGAAATTATAGATTCAGATAGAATCTCAATTTGAATTGTTCGTTTCTTGTTTTTACTCGAATCTATTTCTTTCCAGACCTTTGCTGTTCTTGCTAACTTATCGGTCAAAACAAATGGCGAATCTCGGTAGTTTTGAATGTATAGTTTTTCAATTATACTTTTCTTACGCTTAAGAGCAGCTTCTAATTTATGTTTCAACTCATGTTTCCCATTGTACAGAGATTTTATTAAATCTTCCCATTGGGGTATAGATCTGATATCAATTTTGTATCGATTTTCTAAATATTTAACAAACGTTTCGACATCTACTGTACCGTCTAAAATTCGTCTTATACGAATATGTTTGCACTGCGGCAAATCCATTCCTGATAATACTAATCAGAAATATAAGAATATTAATAAAACCGTCTAAAACATGAAAATGTAGATATAAAAATGCAACAATGACAAATGTGATAACAGATAATTTTGACTTAATCTGTCTCAAGCCGAATAATGAATAAAAAAGGTTGTATTTGAAGAAAGGATTTTAGATTTTCAACTTTACTTTTCAGATGACAATGGAGAAAATACCTAGAGTCCTTTTGAGTATAGCCTTAGCTGCTCTCTTACCGATTGCCGCACCAAATATTCATGAGGAGCAAGCCAAGGAAAATATACCTCATTCGCGGCAAAAGAGGATTCTATGGATAACCAACGATGGTCGCTTAGCACTACCACCGGGAACTACTATGACAATTACTCCTTCTATATCGATGCCTTTTGTGAGGCATCCACCGAAGGGCTTCCTCTCAAATATGACTATAAGTTTCCCGTTTACAAGTAAGTGTTATTTATATGTTCATGTTTAATTGTTGTTTTATATTCAGCACGTGATTCAAATCTATTTGCAGAAATAAATTAAATATATGTAAGAGTGACACTCGCCGCACTAGTTCAATGAATCTAGTTCATAGGCGCGGGAAATGATCTGTTTCTGTGAAATTATTACGAAACAAGAGTATTTTAGTTAGACTACTTTAGTTTTAATGATTATCCAGTTATTTAATTAAATGAATTGCCTTTGAATTACGCGAATACTTATGCGAGTCTCTCGCTACCACGACTGCTGAGCACACGAATGGTCTTATTATGTATACAAAGAAGAATATATTCTAATATTATAAAGCGGAAAAAATGCAATGAATAAACTCAAAAACTAATGGAGCTATTTCAATAATTCACCATTAGAAGAGATACATATTATGACCTACCCAAGATACATATTATGTAGGCTATATTTATTTCCAAAACATACGAACGTCCAGCCGTGCGAAACTGGGACAGGCCAATGATTAAACAAGTTAAATTATTGTACAAGCGTTATGTATGAAGTATAATAACGCCGCAGTAATAAGCAGAAACGTGAGATTTAGTAAAATAAAAAGAACATGATTTTACAGGTACAATAATGTATCAGCTGGAATGTAAAAGTCAGTATTAAATAAAAGCTACGTAGAAGTGATGTAGATCAAATTAATATAGCAGTATTCTAATGTAGCTAAGGTAGAAACGTAGATAATAGATAATAGATTTTATCTTAGACATTATAATATTTCACTTAAAATACTTACGTAGCTGTTTATATTAATAAGTTATGTTACTAACATTATTTTATTTACAGCCGTATTCAGAGTCATTCATTAAGAATTAACTGTAACTTAAATCTAGAAAATACTTTAATAAATTCACGATTAATTGATTATAATACTTTTGTGGCTGAGTTGCACTGTTATAATAATATATAATTATAAATTTACGATTGCAGACAATTTAACGAACAACTTTGATTATGGCTACATACTAAAAAGAACTGTAGTAGACATAAAAGTATCGTAATTTTAACAGTAGATTGGTTACATTTTAACTAGAAGTAGCGAAATAGATAAGTAGAAATATAGACAATTTTTATTATTATACCACTGCTAAAAACAAACTATTAATAAATTCCAGTCGACTTCGATAAACTGGGATTGACAGATAACGAAAACCCGTACGGTGATTTACCGCCAATTTTTGCGCGGTCTATGGGCAGCACAGCGGCCTCTCTAATGGCAGACTATGTTGGCCAATATTTGGATCATAGACGGGGAAAACGATCCACAGACAAAATGATACCGCCTGAAGCTGAGAAGCTGGTTCTTGACAGATTTCATGGCGGAGAAAGGTAAGAATATATTTTGGTATTGTTTGTTGTAATAAATTGTTTGTTATTTATTATATTTTGATAAATATTATCAAAACATAAGTTTAATTGGTTATGTTATTGTGAAGTATCGTAAGTGAAGTACATAAGCATAAAGAACGGTTTCGTTGCCGTTGTTACATAGTTATTTAACAATAAATAGTAAAGCAGAGTATATACATCGATTTATACGTCACTCAGACGTAAGGTACACAATCGTTAGTCGAAGAGACAAGGAAACAATTAGTAGTAGTTAGGTTTTGCAGCCTGCAACACAGGGTGGTTCGACATCCCATGGAATGTAGTCCCAGCTAATTGAAGTCTATAAAAAAGTCTCTTCCGTGTTTGGGCAGATGTATATTCGAATCACAAAATTTACGTCAGCGGTTGTAATAAAAAATCGTTAATAAAATTTAATAAACAGAAGAAATATGGTCAAATAACATTTGACCCCTTAACCAATATACATTAAACGGTACCTTACCTTACCATGAAGTCATCCCTGTCAAAATGAAGCTGTAAAAGTGATAAAGGACGATTTCGAAGCAATGAGGATGGTCAAGTGACAATAACACACACCCGTTACTTTCACTAATACTAATAAGGACAGTGAATTCGGCACGCGATAATATTCGGCTTGCATGTTACGTGTAGGAAGTACGCTGGAAGAAAACTAATTGGAAACCACAATTACAATCAGATAACTTACGTCAGGGAAAAGTTCAGTAGACCATTTGACAGATCAGGAAATTGTCTCTGAATCTACGATGCTGTTCCGTTGTTTATTAAAAGGTTTCGTTTTATAACTACGATCTTTTAGTGTCATCAAGAATTGCTGATAATTTTCGGTAATTTTATAAAAATCCTTGGAATATTCTGGCCCTAGAGAGAATGAGAGAATCTCCAATCCAAGTCCAAGTCACATTGCCAAGCAAGCACTCGACTGCAATCCTCAAGGCACAAGGAGCGAGCAAAACTAACGAACTGTGGTATCAACTCCCGGTGGAGGTCTTAACTTCTCTTAGTGCTCAAAGGCCGGCAACGCACCCACTAAAAATGGGTGTCTATGGGCTGCGATGACTCTTTGCCGCTCAATAACCCCTCCCAGTACATTTAAATAAGCATCATTACAGAGGCAAAGGTAGCTGGAATGACGTGAAGTGAAATTCAGAGAGCAGCCCAGGACTGATAAGGTTTTTTTACGCTGGATGCCCTCTGCCCCACATGAGAGACATAGGATAAACAAGGTGAACAAAAATTTGGAAAATGCTTTTTTTATATTAGTCGAAGTACTATTTCATACGAATAACTTTCTATCGCATTCTTTTAATATCCCAGTACATCTAAATAAATACTGCAAATTCTAATACATGGAAATGAATAAATAGATTATGAATGATCAAAGGTCCAAAATTTGTATGGTTTTATCTAGGTCTCTCCCTAGGTGAAGTCGTAATTAATAAAATAGATATTATTAAATACAAATGCAAATAATGCTTTAAGTACAGATGACTATGTGTCCGGGTCATTTTGATAGTACACTTGTTAAACTTGGAAAAACCTGTACTAGCCTAGTTCCGTACTCCTTTCTAAGTAGGATACGTGCAATGTACGATTATGTGGCAGGTTAAATGTCATACAAACAAGCAATTTTGTTTATTAACCGACTTCAAAAACTTAAAGGTTTTTTTTTAATTTAAGTAAAGTTCACCACATCATAAATTTTGATATATCTACAGTATATGTTACAACCTATATTTTCTAAAATATATGATAATTATGGTAAACATGTAACAAAAATTTAAACGACAATAAAAATATATCCCTTCCAAGTTTTGATATTACTAGTAATTTTTTTGCTTATTAAAAAAAAATTACAAGCAAAAAAGCGGATTAGGTATCAGATAGGTACTTAACAATGTTTTTTTTAAATTGATCAGCCCACTACCAAATGTATCAAGCTCTAGTTTTATTCTGTTATATTCTCAAATAATTCGAATGAGAGGTGCCTGAACTCCTAGGTTGGTTTTTGGAGACAGAATTTGGAAAGTTCTGCTAATTTTGAAATGAATAGGAGACGATATGTTCTGTAAGAGGTTTCTGTTCTGTATTTTACCATTAAACAATTTGTATAAGAACGTGACACCAACTAGAGATCTGAAGGCTTTCTTCAATTTGTATAGTTTTAAACTCAAAGGTTTCGAATATTTTATGCTAAAATTAGAAAGCTATCTCATAAAAAGCCTAAGCTTAAAAGCCTGAAACCTAATTGGAAAATGTATATAAAGATTATGTTTTTTTCAGAGCCCTCATGTATGGAATTGCAGAGGACCTATTAGCCAATTTTGGCTTAGATGGAAAAGAGTGTCTTTTGCGTGCAATTTGCGAAGTGCACGCGCATCCTTTACAAAACTTCGGCTTCCTTGGGGAAGTTATGAAGTTGTTCTTTAGGTAAGTTGTTCTTTAAAAGTACTTAACCTAAACCGCTAGGTCCTAGGTACCTAGGTCCGCTCTTAAACTAAATTCTACAGAACATTGTCAACCGCAACAAAAAATTGCGGTAAATTTTATAGAACATTTTTTATTCTATAAGGCACAGACTAGTAAGTCAATGACACAGACAAATGTCATTAATAATTAAAACCAGTCTGAATAATGTCCTTACGGTATCACAACCCATATTAAAATTATATTTAAAATGCACAACTAATCTAACTTGAATTTAATTAATTTAAAACAATTAATTAAAAAAACGAATGGATTAATCTTTTAATTAATTTATAAAATAGGGGAAACAATGAGCCAGCAACTTTTAAACGATATTTTCGCCCAGACTCACAAATTTCTCAACACCATTTCGTACGTAGACTTTCAATAGAAGCCATTATATTTAATAAAAGAAATAATAATAATAAGGCATTTATTCCTTGAAACATTCATCTATCTTTACAAAATATACACACACTTAAATTTTTTTTTGAGAAATAATTACCAAGGACCTCTTATAGAGTATAGGCCTCATCCATGTCTCTCTATCATGAGCATTTTTCTCCCAATCATCACCAACTTTAAGCTCGTCAGCCCACCGTGCAAGAAGGCGAACTCTCTTTCTTTTCCCTTGTGTTTCCCTGACCCGTTTTGTCCATCTGCCATTGTTCATGCTAGCGGTGTGGCCACTTAAGTCTTCTGCAATGGGATAGTACATCAATAACTTTTGTTTTATTTCTTATTTCTGTAGTACATACAATTGAAGAAATATTCGTAGTAAATACGGCTTGTATTTTTTATATCCAGAGGTATAAAGTGTATTCTGCAATCTCTTTAAAACCAAAATTGCAAGCAAATTTAGGTTTTAGCCAAGTTGGCGTTTCGCGCTACCGAAGCAAGCATGCATCTTAATAGAATGTAATTAAGTGAATCCATGAGCGTACTCCTGTCTTAAAGGCCGGCAACGCACCCACTAACATAGATGTCACATAGGCGTTTGCCCTTATATTTTTAAAATAAAAAGTAACTATTGTATTTTTTCCAGCCCAACAAAATCCCCTTACGCAAGTCTATTGGATGAATATGTAACAGCTCAAAAGGCTGGAGAATCGGGAGGTGAATGCTGGCCGTACTACAGGCTATGTCCAAAGAGCATATTTCAATCGACGCAAAATAAATATGCGTAAGTATTTATTTTGTATGTAGGTATGTCCCTCTAATCGGACAACACGTCGAACTTTGAGGCTAGCTCAGGCACTTTCAGTGCACAGAAATACAAAAATACAGCCAAAGGTTTTATAAAGCTCCTTATTTATAAAAGCTGGTCACCGGCACCAGTGGCGGATTTACATATTTATAAGGTATAGGCGGCAAAAACGTGTCTCCTAGAATGGCCTAGAATATTTTTTAAATCAAACAATTTCGTTGAAATTGCACGAAAAATAGTACAAAGTGTAAGCTGAGGGGGCAGAGGGACGGCGAACTAGCTGTTTATTCTAGAATATTGAAGTTTGCTACACCGAATGTACAATGACAAGTTAGAGAAAGTCATCGGCATTATTTCTTGCAGACTTCTATCTGTAAAATATCAGAAAACCGTCATGCAGAAATTTTTTTGAATTCTATGAAATAGCAAAAAAAATCGGCTCCCAAATTTGCCGCCATCAGCATGCTGGTAAATCCGCCACACTCATACATTGGTACATAAACAAAATTTTTTTTGCTTAATATTATAGGAATATTTCGGGGCGCCAAGCATAGCTTAGGACGCTCCTTGCTGTTTAGCTTCTCGGTCACAGATCTGCCTGATAGCGTTATTGGTAGGTGGTGGGGTGGCAAACTGGTGCTTTAAATCTTTTTAAGGAAGTATATCTACGTTTCTAATTAGATCATTATGATGATGTTAATTGTTACAATTACATTATAATTTATAACTTACTCGGAAATTAAGTTAACCATCTGTAACGACATGCAATATATGTTCACTGTTAATATGAAGAATGTTAGTTTAAAGGTTTTTTTACATAATTAACTATTGCTTTTCAATATAATGTTTTTATATGTATAGTAAAAATCCCCAATTTAAAATAATAGGTTGGGGAAAAAGTTTCTTCGCATTTTTTAAGAAAATTCAAAACATTTTTTAATATAGTTTATTTAGATTTAACTAAAGTATGTAGGTACCATTTTGTTCGATAACTTTTTGCAATCATTTAGGTAGGGAAATGATCCCATTGCTATAGAAATTATGGGGCTTGTGATCAAAATTCCGCGACAATTGGTTTTGGCAGTCCGCTTGTGATGTTAACCTGACACTGCCTAAATAATTCTGAAGAGACTGAAACAGGTGGAAATCTGAAGGTGCAAGTTCAGGACTATACGTCAGATGCATTAACACCTCCCAGCCAAGCTCTCTTATTTTTTGCTGAGTGGCTAAAGATGTGTGAGGTCTAGCGTTATCATGATGAAAAACCACACCCCTTCTGGTGATTAATTCCGGCCGCTTTCTCTCAACTTCTTGCTTTAATCTCATCAGTTGTTCGCAGTAGAGTTCAGAATCGATGGTCCTGCCTGGTGGTAACAGCTCATAATGAATAATGCCCTTCCAATCCCACCACACACACAGCATCACCTTGTTGCGAGATATCCCGGATTTCGCCACAGTCTGTGAAGCCTGACCGGCCTTTGACCACGTTCTTGTCGTACGTGATCCACTTTTCATCATCAGTTATCAGATTCTTCAAAAATGATTCGGTTCCATTAAGTCGTAATAAATAATCAAAAATGAGTACACGGTTCATTAGGTTTCTTACAGTGAGCTCGTGAGGTACCCAAATATTAAGCTTTTTTGTGTACCCAGTTTTTTTCAAATGCGCCAAAACTGTTTTGTGGTCAATTCCCCGTTCTTCAGCTACGTCGTAACTACTGATATGCCGATCTTGCTCCACTTTTTCAAAAATGGCATCCATTTTATCCATCATAGGGCGACCAGAGCGACTTGGATCTTTGACATCAAAATTTCCGGATTGAAAACGCTTTAACCAAATTTGTGCTACTGTCACAGTCACTGCGCTAGGGCCATATTAACATCGCAATTTTATTTCGCGGCTTGTTTTGCATTTTGACCTTTTTTGTAGTAAAATTTTAAAATGTATCGAATTTCTTCATTCGATTCACTCATCTTGACGGTACGAAAAATAAATAAAAAACAGACATTATCCTAATTTGATTTTGGATATATCTTCTTTAAAATCTCAACTTTCGTTGATAACAAAACCAGCCAGATACATATAGTATTGCCAAAGAGATTTTTTTACAAGTTCATACATACTATAATGCGAAAAGACTTTTTCCCCAACCTAATATATACTAAAATCAAGAAAGATTTGTATATTTGTAATTTACAAAAAACTTAACCGATGTCAAAATATTTTTTATCCTTACAACAGGCTATATTTTCTAGGTAAAATATTTAAAAAAAATTAAGTCACGCGAAGACGAGAGGCCAAGTAAATGAACCGCTGTTTGGTCGGTTCATTCGTCACAGTCGCGGGGCTTGTCTTTGGTTTGAATCTGTATAAATAGTACCCAAAAGCCCCGTAGCCATCTGCGGCATGTCGACAAGGATAGGGCAGGACATGCAAAATCTGTAAAAACATACCAGCTTTTATTGTTTAATGTTAAAGTGGCGTTGATAGTTCAAATTAACAATAACAATGTATAACTTTCATAAAAATGAGATCGAGGTATTTATTAGACTTTAGAATCAAAGGACTACTAAGACCACAAACCTATACATACAATGGCGCTACACTCTGTTCTGTGATCAGTTCTAACACACACACTTTGGCTAATAAACATACTCGTACCATTAAATATAAAAAATACTAATAATGAAAGAAAACGTTCTTTTTCTTTCATTAAATCATTATTGCATGTTAATTGAGAATTTATACTCATTACAAGTTATCACTTTATCCCCTTGTTGTGCAATTTAAGACAAGTTCTAATTATTTTATTTGTTTACAGGGAAGATGCAGAAAAATTCCATAGACAAGAAAATATCGACGAAAATAATATAGAATCGAAAGCTATGTAAGATACTCCCAAATGTAGCGATAGTGTCCAACCAAAGTCCAATAAAAATTTAGTCGTTACAAAAATTTAGATCAATGATGCCAGATTCAAAAAATGATTAAAATATATAGTGGTACAAATTCTGATGTATTTGAAATTATTATCCTTAGGGCAAGAATATGTAATATATAACAAGTGTATACTGAATTTTACTAAGCTGAATAGTTTTCTTTCTTTACTTGAACTCGCGAATGAAAAATCTATTATGGGGACAGTTAATTTATCGAGGTATATCACCAAATAAACGCCGGTCAATAATAAATAAGTATTATAAATAATTATTAATTTTCGTATGAATTGAGCAGCGCTCCGTGGCCGTGTTTAGAACTAAAAATAATTAGATAATATAACAAACAAAGAAACAAAAATTGTTATGGAATTTCCTATTAATGCTATGGAAGAGCTGGGAACCCTGACCAGGATTTGGTTTTCCACATATTACACATTGTAATGCATTGTTATTTTACGGTTCCTGGGTCATCAGGGTGCTTTAAATAATAGAGGATTTTATTATTATTTTTACTCTATATTAACCACTCGCGTACAACAACAGAATATAAGCGAAAAATGAAATGATAATTGCTATGTAACGAATGAATGCAATTAAAGAGAGTGCCTTCGTCTGACTATACTCTCGGGGCGTAACTCCGACGATTTAGGAAATCGCCACGCTTATAAAACTAAAGCCTGAGGGAAATGTAAAGCCTTGGCTCGTACAGTTATAATGAATAACCAAATTTTTATTTTTAATATGAAACACAAAAATACGAAAGCAAAAATGTAAAATAAAGGAAATTCTTAATATACACTTTTGTGTTAATGTTTTATTATAATGATTTCCTAATACAGTCGATTTGATGCGAATAATTTTACGCAAGTATTCATTAGAATTAGCACCACTATTTGCTTCAGTGACGATAGTTTTAATCACACTAGAAATCACTGTTCATTTTATTCATAAAATCACGAGCCAGTAATTAAATCGAGTACAATGAAGTGAGTCTTGGTATCATTGAAAAATGGGATTCATAAACAATAAATTTTTGAAACGCAAAAACTAATGCTTAATGCGTAATCGTATCTTAAACGTTATAAGATTGTAATATCAAAAGACAATTTTCGCTTTAAAAAAATGTTTATGTATTTCATTTATAGTGCCATTTTATTTTAGGTGCAATCCTTTTATTACGTTTAATGTATCACTATTATGTTATGAACGAATAATGTGATAAAAATCTAACAAATATTTATAAGAACTAAATTATTAATAATATGTAAAGTTTCCTATTGTCTAAGTTATTAAACAAAATATTATTTTTACCTTGTTATTATTTCAACACTATATATTTAGATGAATTCTCCAAACCCGCAAACTATTAAGGTCTCCAAAACCCAACTTCACGTGCAGTAAAAATAGTATGAACATAAGTTTCTTGTTGACATACTTGGACCGGGAGTAGCGTCAATAGCACGGCATATCTGTTTCACATTTCCTACGTATAACACAGCTGAGAGTTCTAAAGTGTGAAATGAAAAGCTTAGGAGACCGAAAGACAGCGTCTATTTTTAGAACCCTTTGACATGTTTAAGGTAAGATCTAAATATTAAATGTCACGTGTTTAGTTTCTAATAAGTGATTTTACAGGTACAATATGTAACGATTGCGTGCGTTTTGTTTATAACGGTCGAGGGGGCTTCTTTTGTTAAAAGAAGTTATTCGGATCGATCCGTAAGGGGATATGTCACTGAGGTTAGTACGATAAATTGTTTTAATGTAAAGGTCAAAGTCCAATGATCGAAATTTTACAGAGAACCTGCTGGTGGAACGAAGTATGCAAAGAGGAATTTCAAACATTGTTCCGATGCAAGTGCCCGTCGTGGTCCTACTGCCGAAGCCCGGGAAGATATTACAATGCTGTCTGCTCCATAACCGAAACCGGATACATATGGGATCAGCCGAACTCTCAGTGGAGAGGCCAGTAGCACAATCACCGTTTGGTTTCACCACGGCCCACAATCCACAGGAGACTGATAGAAAAGGAAATCAAATTTCAACATCTATTTTTCATACATAGCACTAAGAACATTCCCGGTTTAACTTCCACTGAAGATTTCGCTTTAATGTATTTGTTATAATAAATAAACACAGTACAAACAATTGCCTTTAACGATTGCCCAATTCAGTACTTGACCTTGATGTAATATTTATTGAATGGTTCGCGCATGCGCTAAAAATCGGCCATATAACATAAGTGCCAAGAATCGATAAAATCTCAGTAAAGCTAACGTATGTTCCACATCAGCCAAATCAGTTCCAAAATGCTGTCCAGGCTTTTGTTTTTTATGTGCGTGTATAGCGTAAGATGTGAGCCAGAAACTGTGAGGGATAACTTCGACTATTTCAGTTATGGTAACGAAGAGAATGTTTTGAAGAACTTGGATTTACACACGGTAATTATTATTTACGTTTTAATTGCTCACTTTGTACCGAACGTAATCTATGTTTATTTCCAGCCCAAAGATGAAATAGTTCTCAGACCTCAAGAGGTCAAGGACTGGCCGCAACAGTCTCTGAATGTGGGACAAATTACGGCGGTCTCCATTAATTCTTTGGGACAGCCTGTTATGTTTCATAGGGCTGAAAGAATCTGGGATGAAAGGTAAATAAAAAAACACAATATCATGGCCGTATATTTGCTCCGGAATAAGAAACTTCTATTTTCGTCATTAAATTTAACGTTTAACCAATTCAAAAGGGCATTAGATACATACAGACTGAGAGTAGACTAAAATTGGGACGGCTAATGGCCACATGTATCTCGTTCGTATATACATATTAAGTTTCTCATGTAAATAAAATACATTATTTTTGTAATGAGAAAATAAAGTTCTTTAAACATTAAATGTAATATACTGTATGTAATAATGTATAACGTATTACTAGTTAATATTAAGTTAACTAGCACTGATGATGCCTCTGAAATGCTGTGTACAGGGTAATTGGACTTCAGGTTTACAAATGTTTAGTTTGAAGTAAGATGAATTCACGGAATCTGTTGTCTGTTTCTGTACCGATGTCATTTAAAAATAAAAATAAAATTGTAAAACAAAAGTTAATTTTAACCTTATTAGAATTTTTGAAATCGTTCAAAGTTTAGTCTCCTAGGGTAAGAATGTCTTTCACCGTTGGATGTATTCTATCTTTGTCAATTTCAGTACATTCAATGAATCAAATGTTTACCAGAACCTGGATAAAGGACCAATTATCGAAGATACAATTTTAGTACTTGAACCCCAAACAGGGTCTGTTCTACATAGTTGGGGTGCTTACGCATTTTACATGCCCCATGGATTAACTGTAGATCACCACGACAATGTATGGGTAACAGATGTTGCTAAACATCAAGTATTCAAGGTAATTATCGGTGGGATTGCTTTCATGTCTCTACTCTACTGACCAGTCGGTTAAAAATCCCTGTGATGTACCTGAAAAAAACATAGAGAACTAAGAATGTAAAACTAATTGATGTACGACAGTGTTTCCCAACGTGGGGCCCACGCCCTACGGGAGGGCAATTTGATTATAAAAGTAAAAGAAAACTATTCGAAAATTTATTAAAATTATATGAATTTCAGTTTCGTTAATAATTTCATAGTAATTTCTTCGTAAAACCTATAATTTAAATTTCTTATGTGATCAATTCAATGTTATTTATTTTAAGAATAAAAATTATGTTATTTATTGAGGCATGGTACAAAAAAGGTTGAGAAACACATGAGTATCATTTTATTGTGATTTATCTTCAATAAATTACTTTATTTATTTATAGTTATAAAACAATATGCATGCTTTTATACAAGAAAATATGACGTTACAAATACCATAAACATAAATTCTATTAGAACATAGAAATACGCAAAGAAGAAAGAAACACGCAAGGGAAAAACATTAAACTAAAATTAAAAAGTAGTTTAACAACAAAGCCTGTTTCTCGTGCTTTTTATTAAACTAAACTAACTCATTACAATCAAACAAACGGCTATTCTTTCGTATAACATTCATAAGCATCAGCTCACTGTCGCCTTCCCTATTCATATTATTATCGTAATAATTCCCAATTTATTTCAGTATACGCCTAATAACCACAAATATCCCAGCCTTACGATTGGAGAAGCATTCACAGCAGGCTATCCATACAGACGAAGGGTACTTCTATGCATGCCAACGTCCGTTGCCATAGCGACCACTGGCGAAATATTTGTAGCCGATGGATACTGCAACAATCAAATACTAAAGTTCAATGCCGCGGGAACTCTCCTCTTCGCTATACCAGCCTTCTCAGACACGCTGACCTTAAATTTGCCACACAGTGTTACTTTACTGGAGCACTTGGATATAGTGTGCGTGGCTGATCGAGAGAATATGCGCATTGTCTGCCCTCAAGCTGGGCTTAAGAGCTACGCCAAAATGCTGGAGCCTGCAACGGTTATAGAAGACCCGACCTTGGGTAGAGTGTTCGCTGTGACGTCACATGGTGATATCATCTATGCGGTGAATGGGCCGACTGCTCAAAACATTGCGGTGCGAGGTTTTACTGTTAACGCCGTTAGCGGGCGAATTTTGGATTCTTGGGAACCGGGCACGGTTAGTTTTATTTTTAGACTAAAAAGTACTTCACAAATATATTTATGGGTGGAGTATTTTTCTTTAACTTTTCTTTCTAAATCAGTTGCATAACTTAAAATCATGATAACTTAATAGTTGAAAATCTTTTAGAAGACAATCTCTAATAAAATGTTTTAACCTTTTTCAGGGCTTCACAAATCCACATTCCCTGGCGGTGACTCGGAACGGATCGCATCTGTATGTAACCGAAATCGGTCCTAACAAAATATGGAAGTTCGAGTTAACAGATGTCTACGACAAGTAACTTGTAAATAGTTCACCTTCAGGAAGCTTTAAACATGTATTACCTAACTATAGGGACCTGCTTTGGTAAAGCGAATAAAATTCGTAAATGTAGTCGTTTAATATACATAATTTACATTAGATTATACGCTTCTTAATTGGTGAATACTTTGAGTATTGATTTCGTTACAACGAGTATTAAAGAAATATTTTTAAATACATATTGAAAGGTATATCCATTACAGATTTATAAAAACTTATAAGGCATACACTGACAGAAATACTGTTGTCTCTGTCGATTAAATCATAAATATTTGACAGAAAGACAAATGAGTGAATGTAATTATTGATTTAGTTTTTTGAGCTTGGTAAATAAGGAGTTCAAATGTAGTGTACTATTTTAAATATAATAGACACTTTACTAAATGCTCTAAACATGTTTGAAGACAATATCGTAATTTCATAGTTTTCACAAAACAGAGATTATTTACTTCAATTTACAAAGAGTAAATATTTATAATTAGCGTGTGGCCAAATATAGCCATTTAGAAATTATTTAATAAAAGTTCTTTATCTTACGTGTGTACTTATTAAATAGTATGTATATTATTTTCTGTGGAAATAGAGACATTTAGTGCAATGCAGAGTAAATATGACACTCGCCAAGTGAGTCTTATGCTCAATATTAATGTTGCTGAAAAATATGTGTCTAGTCTGTGGTTTAGTACTATTCAAAAGTTTCTTAGACCTTAGATGTAGCATTTAAGTATTGAAGAATAGGTCCAATGCGAATCACGCACATGTCAAAGTACTCTGGAATGAGTATGAATTTTTTTTCGTTATTTTAAAAGAGGTTATAATGCTCTTAAACATATTCATAAATAGTAGATGAACGTGTTTTCTATCGCGTAAATTTGACAGAGAACCAAATGAACTTTAGTTAAATCCATGTATTGGGTTAGTTTTTATGAATAAAGGGGAAAATTAAACCATACAGTATTTTCATATCTATTAGCAAGTACACAAGTTCTATGAATTAGATGAAAATAGTAATAAATATATGATAGAGGAAAATGTCTTTTAATTATTACATGTCAATAAGTTAAAGATATACATAACATTCTATCCATAATATTATAGATCAATTTTTCTTTTCTTCATCACTTTCATGAAGAGGACCATATCTGAAAGAAATATTTTAATGTTAAAAGACAGAATAGCTTACTATAAAATATGTACAAGGTAAAATATAAATGAACGTCAGCCTGAAATTAGATGACAGGAAAAGTAATGGCTAAACCCAGAAAATTTATAAAAAAAACCATAAAGCGCAGTGCCGGATAAAGCCAGGGCGGGGCCTGTAGCAAATTCTGCCTAGGGGTCAGGCCCTTGGTTAGGCTTTAAAGTGTTTCCCTGTTTCCTCGAAATACTTATAATTGGTATTATATTAAAATCGATTAGAAAAGTACAATCTCGGCAACGTAAACTCGCAAAATAAATGTATACCTATATAAAAATAAAAATCTGAAGGGTACAAATAACATGCTAGTCTAAATATGTATATCGATTATAATTAAAAATTTGAAAATTAACGTTAAAAAGATTAATACGTACTTATTTTTACGAGTATACTTGACAAAGTCGAGTTTATTTTTCCAGTGAAGCATAGGCTTAGCGCTTCGCGTTAAAGGTATGCAAGATATTTTACGCTACTATCTAAATTAATACTTTTTTTATTACGGTCAGACAGGCGTTGGAGCGCGGGGCCCCTAAGTTCGCGGGGCCCGTAGCATTTGCTACTCTTGCTATGTGGCTAATCCGGCACTGATAAAGCGTTAAAATTATTGTCATTCAAGAGTAAATTTTTATCACCCTGTCCGTGTTGCACTGTGTGCATTTACTATTTTTGTAACAAATATTTTTTTTTCGGGTTAGCCACTATCCTTATCACCAGATTTTGGCTTGACGTTGATTTGTGGAACACCAAGTATACGCTTTACTATATTTAAAGTGACTTTAAATTCCCATGAAATTATTAAAAATACGTTATATCAAATAGTGGCTAAAGTTTGAAACACCAGAGAAACATGAATATACATTGTTAAGGTTCGAAAATAGAATACATGACCAAAATTAAAAAAAAAAAAAACTTTTGTTCTCTAAAAAGGGTCTAACTTATCACAAACTTTTTTTGGAAACATGACAATTTATAAATTAATTTAAATTTAAATGGTTATATTAAAAACCTTTGGTTAGTTATAAAAAGAACCTTACTTATAAATATTGCCATAACGACAGCCAGCATCAACCACAGCCAACACTTCCATGCACTCCGACTGTGCTCTTGAAGTCTTTCAGACTCCACTTTTAATGATGTTAGGTTATTATCCGTTAGACTAGACGATTTTTTCAATGCCTAAAAGAGTAACAGTATTGATTAAGCACAATTATATGGTTTTTACAAGGAACCAAAATGATTTAAATTCATTCATTTGGATTTAATGTCCCAGAAGAGTTCGAATTACATCTGGTATTCGCGTATTTTCAGGGACCATTTGTGTTAGGTCACATACGAAGGCAAAGTCATGAAAAGACCTACTCGCGTAATTGGTGGTATCTGAGCCGAGCCTGTCGGCATGGTGGGCGTTAAAGTCGCCAAGTATCACGATTTCGGCGGACGGGAACTTTTTTGACCAAGGAATGACTAATTGTAATATTACCTCTGTGTCACCTTTGATAATTTTACTGGCAATCTGTGATTGTTCCTTTAAACTCTTAGTGAGTAAAACCATGTTTTCAGCAACTTTTTCTTGCATATTTTGATGATATTTTAAAAGTGAGTCAATATCCTCTTGACTACTGCTATTTCTTGTAAAGTTTGGAGCCTTAATAATATTTCGCCTTCTTAATGTGTCATCACTATCTTCTGTAAATAAAATAAGAATAATGGCATTTAGAAACCTAAAAAAACCTATAAACCTATAAAATTGTTTTTAAATGTTATAATATTGCTATGTTTACAAATATTAATTATGTAATCACATTTGATATACATAATTAATATGACATTTCATATATTTCAAAAGAATAATTTAAATTTGCACCAATAGTTTCTGAGATGACTGAGTAACAATTAATATTAATATTTACTGGATTATTTTTTTATATGATATTACTGAAAGAATTTTTGAAAGTTTATCAAGATGTATATTTCAACATACAAACCTGGCCCAAACAATTCAGACCGCAACTCAAGACCATACTTAGATACCGTTTTCTGATGAATTTCTTGTGCAGAAGCATCAACAGACATAGTGGCTGCGCCATGAGAAAGCAACTGGACAGCTTCTAGCTGTAATATAACACAGCTAATGTTAAAATTTTTCTTAGCAATGTTGGGTAAATTTAAAACAATTTGTGAGAAAAGTTGAAATAGCATTTAATTATTAGGTAAAGTAATCATTGGAAATTATAAGTTCTTACTTTTGTCAGAGATTTCTACAAATTTTATTGTTTAATAGATATGATAGTACTAAATATTGAATATAAAAATTATGTTTTCAGAAACTACCTGAGATAAACATAAATACAAAGAAATTATTTTATTATCAATAAACTACTTAAATTAATTAATTTTACCTTTTCTATTGGACTGTTTAAAGTTGCAGTTTGTATCAACCCTTTCAAAAATGTTACTCTTTTGACATAGTCTGGCAATTCTTTGGGGGGTTTTCTACAAAATTAATTTTAATGGTATGAAAGGTTAAATACCTATGTTAAAAAAAAAGATATTTCAAAAGATATACTAGGAATGTATATACCTTCATACATATCTTATATATCAGAATTAAGTTAAAACATAACAACATTTATTTGGGTTACTGTTATTAGAAATCACATATGGAAAGTCTGCAAATATATCTTACTTACTCTGGACATTCGGCTTTCAGTTCATTGATCATACTTTCCAGGTTTTGAACATATTGTTTTAGTCGTGAATTAGAATCCAATTGCTCATCTTTTGCTATTTGTTCACATTTATTAAGTAGAATACGAACATTGACTTCGGTTCTACTTTTTGTTGGAATAGTACAGTTTCCTATACGTGGATCACGTTGAATTGCCATTACTGATTACGGCTTTAACATTAATGATACCTAATGTTATAATATTTTTTAAGCCACACCAAGAAAATATTAATTCTCTTGAGAATTGAGATTTTGATTACTAAATAATTTTACTGTTTACACTTTACAGTTTATATACTATTGAGTATTGACGTCTTACACTTGACAGCTCAGAAATCCAGTTGTAAATTTTTCAATGACGTTAAAATTTTCACGTTAATCCTGTCATGTCAGAAAAATAATTCAACTCTGCAGTCTGCACACAAATGCTTAAGAACTTACAGGGTACAAACGGAAAAATTTACCGAAGGCAACCCCTTCCACGCTCACTGTGGACTTTACCAATGTTAGGGGGCTCAATTCTCAAAAAATCACAAGAAGCCACATTCTTCCTTACCGAGACTCAGATATCCTTCCCGGCTCAAACTTCCTACTTCGTGATCCTGAGTTGGTTCCGGTCTTAAAGCGCATTTTCCGGTACCTGTACTCGGCTTTCAGAAAGTGTAGATAAACTTATTGTGACTGGCACAGTGGAGGGCATCAGACCTCGAGGCCGATGCCATACTCGCAGGACCGATCAAGTAAAGGCCTTTACAGGTCTTACCATCACCCAGACGCATAGGCTTACCGAAGAGGGGAGAGTGAAGGAAGTTGTGCGCCAATAAAACGACTTTAAGAAAGAGCTCGACTAAAGAAGTACTCGTTCGGCATTGTTCTAAAGTGCTGGAAGACCGCTCCAATACATCCGATCCTTAAAAAAGGTGATCGCTCTGATCTGTCCAACTATCACCCAATAGCTACAACTTCCTTTTTCTCCAAAACCATTATTTACGGCCAGCTCCTGAGGTATCTAGGGGGCCACCAGCGGTGATTAGCGGTTATCAGTACAGCTTTCGTCGTGGACGTTCATATGGTGACCTTCTTGTATACAGTACACATAGATGGGCAGAGGCGATTGAGTCCAAGGGGTAGGTGCTATTGGTTAGAAAGCCTTCGATCGGGTGTGGCATAAAGCGCTTCTCTCGAAGCTTCCAGCCTATGGGCTCCACGATACATGCATGTTGAGCATGTTCCGACCTTAAACCCATGAAAGCTGACTCCCACAAGGTGTCTGTGCCTATCCCCAACCCAGTTTATTCTGCATATCAATGATATGTTCCAACTTAGCAACATTCATTGCTATGCGGAACACAGCACTAATGATACTAGCCATGCAGGTATATCGCGGGCAGGTGTCGATCAGTATCAGAACAAACTTGTGTCTGATGTCAAAACTCTGCTACGAGGAGTGTCAGACTGGGGTCGACTAAATCTGGTCAAATTTAACCCTAAGAAGACACAAGTAGCTTCCCAGTACCAGCTTCACTTTACACTTCACCGTATTCAACAAAGAGCGGTTCAAAGTGTTGACGACCAAACCCTTTCCGAACGACTTGATCCCTTGGCGTTGCGTAGAGATGTGGGGTCTCTCTGCATCTTCTACCACATTTACCGTTGAGTGTTGAGATGAGTTGCTCGGATTAATACCTGCAGCGGAGTTTCATCTTCGGATGTCAACACGCAATCGCGAGCCGTTAGGCTTTGAGTGAGCGGTATCATTTAACATCTGGTGAGCCTCCATCTCGTTCTCTGAAAAAAAATCTATCACTTAGTGTCTTTCAGTGTCGATAAATTGCTTAATTTTTTTAAGTGTCAGAGCTAAATTTAATAAGTTTTAAAGAAATGTTGACAGCATGTGCAAAACACAGATATTCATGTAACTATTTATATAAATTCTTGATTTATTTTATCTTGGATAAATTAATATTAAAGTGTCTCTGTGTACTAACTCATTAAAAACAAATTAAGAAAACTCCATTTAAGTATATGTTTTAAAAATATTTATTGAGACAAATATATAAAAAATTATGATTTTGGGGCTTGCTTCTTCGCAGCTTCAGCCGCAGCTTCGCTCTTTTCAAAATTGGAAATAAGTTTTTCCACTTCAGTGCTTGTTAAAATTCTGATTATGGTTTTGTCATCTTTACGTGTGAGAGTGGCCATTTCAACTGAAAATAGAAAAGATTTTATAATCTAAGTAGTATACTTTTATTTACATACGTATGTTGACAAAATTGATGTGAAACTTGATGTATGCACATTTTCTGCAACAAGCTCAATGCCTTTGTTAACAATAAATTATAAAAAAGAAAGTTGATGAATAGTTTCAGAAGAATTTAATTTTGGTCTAGTTTGTGGTCAGAGAAATGTCTACTAATTCTATAAAAAAAAAGAAAGCACAAATCTTTAAGGATGAATTGTGATTGTAAAAAACAAATAAAAAATACCTTTTTCCGGCGTCAGTTTTGTCATATCAAGTGTTTTGCTTAGAACTTTGACAGCTAGTGCTTGAGCTTCAGCAAGGGTTGTTTCATTCTCTTTATACTCCTGTTTTAGACTTGACACAGCAGCCTAGAAATTTATTTTAAAGTATATAAAACTGTGATTAAATCATAACTGTCAAGTCAAGTCAGACTCTATTTAAATAGTCTAGTAAATTAAACTTCAAATTAAGCTATAGAGTTCAATCTAGTCAAATAAGACCTACTATATTTTAATTCTAACATCCTTAATACTACATAGTACATATATAAAAAATATAGGGTTATCAGTTGTTACGTACAGCACTGTTGTTGCCTATACATGTTGCTTTCCAGCCACCATAGTTACCACTGGGGTCCGATTGATATAACTGATAGCCATAATGCTTATCCCAGCCCATGTATAGAATAGACACACCAAATGGTCTTTTACCTAAAAGAAACATTTATAGGTAATTGAATGCACATTATAAAATATGGAAAATTTTCTACGATATATAGTGTAATATTTAGCTATTCAATTTATTCAGTTACATGTTGTAGCCAAAGGACTGTCGAGAACATCTATAGCATTTACAACACATTTTTACAATTTTAATTTAAAATCACAAATCTTAAATCTTAATTATAAAATTGTAACAGTAGAATTTATATTTATTAGATGATTAAAACTTAGGCATAGCCTATGGAGACAATTTTAGCTTGTACTAAAATCTGTATTATAAGAATTACCTCCATATTGAGTGTATGCTTGTTTTACATCACAAAGCCATGACACTAGTTGTTCACAGGGAATAGATTCACCATACTGTAGCAGATATCTTTGAGCTATCAGTCTTAGCTCATTTGTTAACACATTAGCATCTGATGTTATACCAGCAACTGAACACACCATATCTTCATTAAGCTTATAGATCTTTTCAGAAAAGAATACTTCATCAAGTAGTTTGTTAGTATTTCTTCTCTCTGCTGCTAAGAGGATACCATCAGTAGCTAGGATGCCAAGAGAAGTTCCAGCATGACTGATAGCTTCCATAGCATACTCAACCTGGTAAAGGCGCCCTGAAACATAGAAATTATGTAGTAAAAAAAGCTATTATTACTAGTACTAATATTTAATATTTTGAAGACTCACCTTCGGGCGAAAATATAGTAGTCCGAGTATCATAACGACGAGCCTGTAATGAGAAGCCACAAAATTGTAAATATTGAAATAATATTTCAATCAAGCTAAAAAAATGACCAAGCAAAAAGTCGCTAACCTAATGTCGACGATTATAGCATTTTACTGATGAATTTTATTTGTAAGAACTAACAAATAACCTTACCATAATTAAGATTAACTGTAACTGGCACTTCTTATAGAATTGTATTTATTTTAGTTTAGAAAAAGTTAGGAAACTTAAAATTATTGTTTGCCGGACGATGACAATTCGAAATTTTTCACCAAATTTACAGACTTAAAATAAGATTATCAAAACCAAAAGAGTATATGCTAAGTATAGACTATAATATAATTTATTATTGTTTCACAGGTTAAAAATATTGCGTGAATCAGACTGTCGCCATCTAGTACACAGTATTTTAATGAATAAAACATAAGCCAAGTAATAAAGGTTCTGTTTTTCAATTGTTTCGGAAGATGGCATTCAAAATATTGAACACGAATATTTAACTTTACAGCTGTTTATAGCAGTGCTAAAGCGAACAGTATATCTAAATAATGTTATTTATGTTAAATATAATATATAATTGAAAATGATTAATAATTATAATATCACGTACATAATATTATAATATTATATGTATATTATAAAACGTTTAATATATTAAACCTGTGGTATTAACTAATCTATATATTTTATTGATTAATTTACTCTTGGTTTTTATTGAGCTAAAAATTAATTTTATATAGATGACACTATGTATCAAACATACATTATATTATTTGCATATTAAACTAAAGTTTTCAATAATTATAGTAGTCAATAACTTACTATTGTTATCATATTGGTCTAATAAAATAAATAAATAAGTCACGATTAAAAAATACATTTTATTAAAATCTATTCCCAACACATTCACTTAACTACTTAATATTATTATATTTTAATAACAATACAAGTAACGATTCACATTTTAAGAATCATAGTAAAACATAATTTATATTATAATCCGAATTCTAATACGTTTCACATGCACAATTTGTTTTGATCTTATTCAACATAAATAAATAAAACTAGATAGCTATTTATGAAAATCATAGAATAGGTAGGTATATAGTAGGTACAATATTTACTACCATAATTACAGCTGTTTTAATCAACAACCAACACGGTACTATGGTATGTACATACACCTTATAAATATCTATTCTTTTTTGTTTATTTTCAAAGACAATAATTTGTCTATGGTAAAAGACTACAGGTTTGCCTATAAAATCTTAAAAAAAAACAGGTGTGCATTATTAATTTAGCCATTACGGAATAAACTAATAATTAATAGATAAATTGTGTTGTCGTATAAAATTTGCATATTGAGTTGATTTTGTCACACTGTCTAACTGTGCCGTCTGTACGCCGTGCTTGTTTATATCCTTAAAATCCACCATAGGAATATCATCAATATGTATAATTATACATATTTTTAAGTTCAAACAAAAGAAAACCGTTTCCAAATCGTAATAAGTGAATGAATGAACAAAACCCGCGTATTTTAAATAAAATTATTATATGTAACATCGTTTAGTTACGAATAAAATTTATATGACTTAACATAACTTAACCTTTTAAGCATTTTTTTTTATTATTTTTTCATTTTAACAGTTAAAAAAATGTAAAAGCTAGGCTCTACTATCGCCGTCACTCGAGCCGTCGACTTCGAATAGTCATAGCGTCTTTCTGGTGGTTGATATCAGGTCTACTATGGGTTGCACCAGAGTGTATACCAACGTTATCACTACAAAGGTGATGAGGGCTGTTGCCAAAGCCCCCTGAGTTGTAGAAAACCTCACACTATTAAACCCTAAGATCATAGTAATGAGGCCCATACTTAATGCAAACATTCCAACCGCCACGTGAAATATTTTCACGGGATTACTTTTCAGGAGTAGACGAACCTTGGAAGAGAATAACGCGATGATTCCGGACACAAAGCTCAACATTGTAAAGGCGAGAGCTACGACCCCTGAAAAAAATATCCATTGTTTTTTTTCATTATTTTCTTTTTAAATTTCACCTCATATATAATGCTATATCTACAGTATGCTACAAGCTATATTTTCTAAAATACTACACTTCCAATTTTGGATTTTACTAGTATTTTTTTGCTTATTGTTAACCAAAAAATTACTAGCAAAACTGCGGATAAGTTAACACATAGGAACTTAACAATGGCCTGGTGCTAGTGCTAGACAGGCTACTTCTAATTAATTTGCGATATTTCTTTTAAAATAAGTGTTGTTTGCCATAGTCATTTTGTATGATGATTTGCTATTTTCAAAGAGAACCGAGAGTTTTTTACGCCGGCTTCTCTCGGCCTACACCCTTTGTCTTCTTTGCCGATGAGTAGGGATGTCCACCGATCCAAATTTAATGACGTGGAATAAGTGATACCTGTATTTTATGTTCATAATAAACATATTTTATTTTACAATTAAATTTTTCAATAAAAATATAATTTTTTTTATTGATCAGCCCACTACCGAATATGTCAAGCTGTATAAGTAAGTGTTAATTCTGTTATATTCGCGAAGAACTCGAATGAGAAGTGCCTGAACTCCTAGGTTGGTTTTTGCAGACGGATTTTGGAAAATAACTAGCAAAAATATGCTTACGAAAACAAATGATTCTTATTTTGGCATAGTTTTGAAATTGAGAGAACTAGATATTTTATATCAATCACGTGTCAAAGATTACTATCGGGTAAAGATAAAACGGTCTCTGTAGTCTGTTAGTTTCAATTTATAGTTTTGATACAAAAACTCTTACAGTTTGAATTGGGACATCCTTATCTATTTATAAAAATATAGTGAATCCATGGGCTGTATGACCGCGTTTTTGGAAATGATTTTATTTGTATTGTAAAAACTATTTAAAAAACTCTTTTGAAACTCTTGAGTTATAATGAAATACAAAACCTGAAGTGTAATAATACACTGTACATTTTACTAAAGTTATCATTTGTCCCTTTTCCTCACAACGTAAACACAATTTGACACAAAGAGACGAAATAGTGCTTTTAGACTAAATTAGTTATCATGAATACCGCCTTAATATTTTTGATAGAACAGGGGGCAAACGTGAAGACAACACCTGGTGTTAAGTGATACAGCCGCCTATTGACACTCTTAATGCCACAGGGTACACGAGTGCAATGCCGGCCTAAATATTATGAATATGTCACAAACACAAATGATTTTCGTAAAATAAATGAACCTAATCACTAATTCTTACCGCAAATGGCGTGTGCTGAACTAATCTGCATGTTTACTTGAGAGAGTCCAAGGAATGTTCCAGCGAGAACAAACACTGCTCCTAGGATTTGAAAACACCCATGCACGATTCTTTTACTGTCCATGCTCAGTTGGGCCGACCATGTGTTATGCTTATGAAGAGTAAGTATTGATTCTACCAGAAATAGTTGATACTGGAAGGGAAAATTTTCACTTTGAAAAACAATGGAAATGCCTTAAAGATATTCATGTAAAATTTGTACCAATCAGATCTTTCCAAAGATTTATCTCGGGGCTTGGGATGCTAGAGGATCAGACTGCTAATAATTAAAAAATGGATAGTCAATATAATTCAAACAGCAAAAGAATTATAGTTGAGCAGTGATGACCTAAATGGCGTCAGCGTGCGCATCTAGAGGTCGTAGGTTCGGCTGTGCACCAATGGAAATTCCATTTTTCCATTCTATGTGCTCATTCTTCATTCACTCGAATGGTGAAGGAAAACATCGTGAGGAAACCGGCTTGTCTTCGACCCAAAAAATCGACGGCGTGTGTCAGGCACAGGAGGCTGATCACAAATAATTCTGTGTCCCAAATCTAAAAGGGTGGTAGCGCCACTGATTTACTTAAAGAATAATAGCTATATTATAAGTATCGTAATTTTGACGATGATTACCAATTGCTAGAATACAAATATTTTTTGTCTTGTTGAACAAAAACCACTCCATTAATTTAGAATAAGAATTAAATGGTCAAAGCCATAAATACATACACCTGTACCAGCAAACACGATATGCAGCTGTAAATTCGTGATCGATCCATCTGCCTGCGAAGTCAAAGCGTACCGCCAAACCGAGAACACCACAATAGCAATCTGCATATGCTGCAAAAGATTCACGAGCTGGCATATCGCAGTCCACGCCGACTTCCACGAGGACTCATATAGTTCCCCACTCTCTTCGTCGTACGCTGCTGGTGCCCTGGTCACCTCCGCCTGATAAGGCACGTGCTCACGTACTTCGAACATCTCCACCTTCTGAATAGATTGGTGACTTGTACTGGGCCGGTCCATATTCACAAAGTAGACCTTCCGCTTTCTTAGACCCAGCTTACGATCACATGAACACCGTAGTACTAATGTCGAGATGTAGATAAGGTTTGAGAATTCGATCTGGTATCTTCGTGTAATTGACAGCTTAGATTAGGAGGTCTTGAGAAATATGAAGATAAATTCGGCGGATTATCGTAATGGGGAAGTGTTGAAATCGCAATGTTATACTGTTCTCAATTGGTGGTTATGAGTCGGTATGGGTGTGGCGAATTTCAATTGTTGTTTTGATATATATTTAAAACGGTAACGTGTTTGTCCTAGAAACAAATAGAATATTACAATTTATATATAATTATTAAAAATGTAACACTAAAATGTAGTAGATAATACTTTAACATAATTGAAACAATACTTTTTAATAAGAAATAAAGAATCGACATGTCGATATAATAAAATAGGTAAATATAAACATAAACGTGCAGGAGGATCTGATGTTAAGTGACATGGACACCAATGTCAGAGGGCTTCTCGATTGCGTTGCCGGCCTTTTAAATATATGAATTGGTACGCTCTTTTCTTGTATGTAGAAGTGATTCGGAAATACTTCGGTGTGCAGCTGGTTCCATATAGTGGTGTTGCGCGGAAAAACTAATTATTATTATTATTACTTCGCAGGTTAAGAAAATTGGAAACTTGAATGTTGGAAATAAAACAATCTGGCTTAATTTACTTGTCGGCCTAAGTGTAAAAAAAACGAAAATTTAACTTATATTGGCATTATAGCTTAGCTACTCGTCAATAGATGGCGCAACATAACTCAATAATCGTATACGGAGTTGTTAAAAATATTTTTACTACTATACTTTTGTTACTTGAACGAAAGCAGAAAGAAATAATAACTTCTACGGCAACTTATAAGTGATTCTAAAAATTATTTTACAAATGCTTTAAAAACCACTGAATTAACTATTTGCCTAAATTAAGCAAAAAAAAAAAAATGCAAAAACAGAAATTGTGTTCAAAAGGAAAGTGTCTATTAAAAGTATTTTTAAAGAACACTCTATACTCTATAGATGCACATAGATTCAAAATCATAAGATTAATTATACTAAAAGGTACCGCTTGTTCGTGTGTTCGGTAGTGTCGTCCCGCCTTCTTATTAAGCGTAATTAATTCTTACCTGCGGGCTTAAATCAAGGCGTAGCTCATTTGTCTCCATAACACCCATACGATAACAAGCTAATAAAATACTTCGAATGATTATTAGCTATCAATATAATTTAAAGTCTAATCGGAATTTTTTCGTCGAGAAATATCTTCAAATTAATTACTAATAATTAAATTACCAATATACGTAATGTATGAAATTCTTTTATTGTAAAATACGCGTATGTCCGGCTCTATGAACGGAAAAAGTACCGAATGTAGTTTTGTGATTTCTGAAATTTTCTTAAATAAAAATAAATCACTAGGAAATATGGTGATCAGCCTTCTGTGCCTGACACACGCCATCCACATTTTTGGGTCTAAGGCAAGCCGATTTCTTCAAGATGTTTTCTTTCACCATTTGAGCGAATGTCAAATGCGCACATAGAAAGAAAGTCGGTGGTCGGGGATCCCACCTACGACCTCAGGGATGAGAGTCGCATTATTCCAGTACTGCTCATGCATTATTCTTAAAGTTAAAATACCTTTTGGACTAAGCTGTGGTCTGTTAAATTAGTGTAGAAGAAATATTATATTTCATAACAAACGCGGTTTAACTTTGAAGATTTTTTTAGATGCAAGCGAAAACTGATGTTGAAATCGTTATTCTGGTGACATTTATTTCATCCTCTAAGTACTCACAGGCAAGGTTTGGCTGGATCCGCTGGGTTCAGCCATTGCGACGAGCGCTTCCGATTATAGTACATGTTCCACTTTTCATCACAGGTAATTCTATTTAAAATCCCTTCATTATTTTGCCGGTTGAGTAATGTAACACAGCAGCCGACGCGCGTTTGTCGATTTGCTTTACTCAATTCGTGAGGTACCCTTCAAGCTTTTTCACCTTCCCAATTTGCTTCAAGTGGATTAATGGAGTTTTATCACTAACACCGCAGCCTGCAGCTATCTCAAACGTAGTTTACGATGGATCCTCTCCCACAATAGCCTTCAATTCTTCGTTATCAACTTTGGTCTCCGGCCGTCCACAGGGCTTATTCTGCAGGTCGAAATTTTCAGAACGAACACGTTGGAACCAAAAACGCACTGTGTTTTCTTTTGCGACACCGCCGCCATACACATCATTAATCCTCCTAGCAGTTTCTGCAGCACTGGTGCCACGGAGGAACTCGTACTCGTAAATAACGCGTAAAAGGTTTTCCCTTTTATAAATAGTGACGCAAAGAAAACTAATAAAACGGAAAAATGAAATGAATCATGGTTTTCGAAAAACAAGTTATAGCTGTAAAAAATTGAATTTGGAATTTCTATCCAAATAGGAGATATTTTTGGTCAAAGTTGTCAGTACGAGAAAACGTCAAATACATATGTCAGGACCTAAAATAATAATTTAATGCCACCTTTGATTATTAATTTCTTCAGATTTTTTTTAGTTGGATTGCTGTTTTGTTTTTGGGATCGAAATAATTTTGTCTACAAGGTATCTATAATATAAAAATGAATCGCAAAATGTGTTGGTAAGCGCATAACTCAACAATGCCTGGACCAATTTGGCCAATTCTTTTTTTATAATATTCCTTGAAGTACGAGGATGGTTCTTACGGAGAGAAAAATTTAAAAAATTGAGTGAAAAAGTTTAAAAAACAACACTTTTCTATATTCCCATACATAATATTCGTAATAATACTTAAAAGTCAATTTGAACTTTAATACCATATCATAAAGTTCAAGTGTTAGTGGAGGGGTTCCGGGAAGGTAAAATTTTTATTTTTGACATAATGTATTTGTTGTCTTATCAACTTTCTTTTTTATCTTACTAGCTAGACCGGTGTCCCGAATAGCAGAATAAGTATTTAAAATAAATAAAGAATCGACATATAGGCGAAATATGTTCGCCAGGCCAGCTAGTTACTTATAAAATCCTTAAATCCTATTTACCTAATAATAATAATGCCAGCTTTTTCCAACTGACTGTCTATGGCTCTCTTTCTCCATTCGTTTCCTGCTACCGCTTCTATTTCTTCTATCCACCTATTTTTGGGCGACCTCTTCTCCTTCTTCTTCTTGGTCCTTTCCATACTCTTCCATAGTCTTTAAGGTCCACCTATTATCTGTGTATGCCCCGCCCATTGCCACTTCTGTTTTAGGGCATATTTACCAAACTAATGCAAATGCTAAATGTATAAATTATATCATAGCACTTATACCTATGTTAAAGTAAAGAAAATATAAGAGTAATGTTTCTAATAAACCCAGAAGCACTGTTTAAAAATAATTCCCTCCAAGGTGTTCCGAACTAAACGAACGACAAAATAATTACACGGTCATCTTACTGTCATAAACCCAGTTGTGTCTACAATCAATATACCATTTGCGACTGGTTAATATCTTAATAAGAAACTAATAGAGATTACAGACTTGCCTTCTCTAGGGGTGGGCCAGTGGTGTACCTGTGTGGTCCAATCCTGTCAACTAGGCCTGGGTTGTATCGATAAATCCTAGTCGATATTGCCCAGAGGTTGGGAATTTAAATTGGAGCGGGAAGCGATGAAAATTCCAAACCTTTGAACATTCTAGGGTTTTATTTGATAGTTTTATTAGCAACAGCTATTTTGTAGTATATTTATAGAATATCTTTATGTAACATGGAGAGAACAGTGTTAATCTTATAGTAAATTACATCTTTATAATAAACTAAAAATATCCATAGTTTTAATATGTACGGGGTTTTTGTTAATTATAAAATAAATAAATCCTTTACTTGAACTAGCATGCAAATGTCTAATTATAATTAAAAACAATTAAATTATTTATTTTTATATCTCAAAACTTATAATTTAAGGGGAGGTTGTGAGGGAGTCGCATTATTTTAAAGAGTTCAATAATTTAGATTTCAATTAACAATTACCCTCTTAATCATTAAAACTAAGTCAGTTTTTGCCGCGCAATAGCACTATGTGGAAACAGCTGCCCACTAAAGTATAACCGAACAGACGACAGAAAATTAAGAAAGATTGTGAATGAAACTTTTTATTTATTTTGAATAGCGAGAGGAACGGAAAAGTGGAACAAGAAAGTATTAAAGAGGTGCCCTAGGTACAGCAACCGAAAAAGAGGAACACACCTTAGAAGGTCGATAGGCCAAATAAAGGTGGTACCTGGCAGAGAGTGGTACAATGCAGAGAGGAATGGCGGGATTTGGAAAAGGCCGTTGACAAAAAAGGGCACACATAGACCTAAAAGAAGGAGATAGAAATATAAATGTATGTAAATATAGAAGATTCAGATATAATTAAAAAGCTATTATTATTATAATGATTATTTATTATCAATAAGGTTTGTTTTTGTGAAATAGCTAATATAATTATTACAAAAAGTACATCACGGAACAGATATACAAATGGCAATATCCCGTGACTAATTGGAAAATGCTCTCCTGCGGGAACATCAAACGATTTTCAACAAGAAAATGTTGCCATCATTGTTTTTAGATTATCTGCAATAAATCACTTCGGTATCCCGTGTTATTGAATCTGTGGATTAAAGGATAACTCTGATAAGAAATTGTTTTCTGAGATTGTACTGAATATACGTAGTACGTATATCATAAATCAGCCTTGGAACAGAAAGTAAAATTAAAAAAAACAATATGTAAATTCAGTATTTTATGGTCGCATTCTCTCTGGTTCTGTCACACAGACTAAATAATAATATAGTTATTAATCTGTGACGATAAATTAAAGTATGATGTTATTTTTAAGAAAGTAATTCAAAAACATTTAAGTTACCGCGTTTTTTTTACAACAGATTATCGCACTTTTGTAATCATTGGTTTATATATGTATATATAATGAGAA